AGCATTCGAGTCTAATGGAGGAAGATAAACTGTCTTCGGTTTTAAACCAGAAGTCGCATCAGTCTAGATTTGAGGCAGGGCCGTCTGATGGTGCAGAATAGTCAGCATTTGCAGATCCTAATTCATGTACTTAAGTGGAAAGAGTACTAGCGTTTACCGCCTGGCTTACCCAAGGATGCCCGACTCGCAGTAGACGACCCTCATTGCCGTTAAAATGCGACCAGACGCCAAAAGACTGTCCTTCTGAAGAAGGGTAGAAAAAATAACATTTATATAAGAAAATAGCACACTGTACTGAAGGGATATAAGCAGTATTCCTGCTCACAAAAGGAAAAACCCCAGTATGTAATGCCGTTCCGTATTTTTTCTTCAAGTAGTCTAGTCTGTGTCTATTAAGATATGAGAGTTAAATCTGATAATAATAAAAAAACACACATATTTTGCATGTTTTGTTACCGAAAATTACCTAAATGATAAAAAAAGAATGGATTTAGACATGCCTTAAGAACTTAGCATGATTTTACAGAGAGGTAAGGAAAAGTATCGGACGAATCAATCAAAAATATTTCGAGTGAGAAAATTAAGTCGAAAAATGTTTTTGTGGCTTAAGTTACTTAAACGTAAGAGACTGTATTACGTGCGATAAAAACACCAGACGGTCGGAGAAAATGCTGTTCTCATGGATTTTAGTAGTAAAAATGTCCTTTGAATAAAAGACACATTAACAAAAGCTATCGTCTGTTGTTGGAATAATTTGAAACAATAAAGAGTCCTAAGGAACACACTGGGCAGGAGAATATGGCTAGCGAGGAGAAAAACGCCGGTGCTGTGACTCACTGCGCGCAGGCAAGCAAGCGCCAAGGCACATGGTCTCTAAAGGGTACATATGCACTGGCCGCCTACGCCCGTTGTCTATCCAATCCGTCTGACTAATCACCCTTCAAGGCAGACCCACACAAAGGCCGCTCCAGACGCTATGGCGGTTCACGCCGTCACCACACTTCAGACGCGGCGC